CCCTCATAGTATCCATTGTCAGCTGGAAGGGAAGGTGAGAGGTCGTCTCTTTGGTCCTTGCATAAGTCCTCGAAAACTGGTCTGATTTCGGAAAATAACAGAGCGATTCCGCTGTACGGAAGACGAGCTTTCCGATGCGGAAATCAGAGAGACGAATTCTTGCCCTCCAGCCATCCTCCAGAGGAGGGCTCTATTTTTTTGACCGTTACTTCCAAATGGCAGACGAACTTTTTCCCAGCTCAAGGTGAAAGGATTTTTTAAAGTAAACAGACGCATCCACAGTTCCTTTCCCGCAATACGAGATGCCGATCAAACCGAGCCGATGCGATACCCTCGTCCCGACTCATGAGGGTTTCAAAATTAGATTGGAAATTCCGAAGAAAAGCGATATTGAGACGGCTGTAACTCCCTCAAAACGTATTCGAATGTCAAGAGTGACGTGTTCATTGGAAAGCCCATTCTCCTGGATTTTCAAAAAAAAACGTCCGATTCCGTTTTCATCTAGAGCTGCTACTACCGACGAGAACGCAACAAAGTTCGCAGAATAGTAGATGGCTGCTTCTATCCAGGTTCCCCATCGAGTGAGAATAGGCTGGGGTGGCAAAGTCGTACCAGGTGCGATTTCACGGAATAGGCTGACCCTCGCCGCCGATTTCCGGAAAACTTTCTTTCCGCTGGCAACTACCTTGTCGACATCAGTGAACAAGAGCCGCACCTCTTTTGCCACCCGATGAATAGCGTGTGCGACACACGTAACGTGTAGCATCCGCGGAAAAATGATTTTCAGTGCCGACCCGGCCTTCTTCATATTTGCAGCACCGTCTGTGACTAGGAGAAGCACTTTGTCGTGTCGAATCCCATCGGGCCAGAGTATCGCAAGCGAGTTCAACATGTGTTGAGCAATTGTTGAACTATTGGTTTTCCCTAGAGTTTCTGCATGGAGCAGAAAACTTTTCGTCCCTGACGTTTCGAGCGTGCCCACAACCGTGTGAGCTACAAAACGTCCGGTCACGTCCGTGCTTTCGTCCATGGAGAGCCAAATCGGTTTTTCC